CTGTGGCGGTGCAGGTGCTGCTGCGCTCGGGGCCAGATGCTTGGGGCTGCCTCAGGGACGGGGAAGAAGAGAAAGCGAAAGGGGAGAGGCTGCCTGGCGTTGCCTAATCAGAGAAATCTGTGCCTGATGGGCTCACGCCCTGGCCAGCCTCTGGGGAGGAAACTGGGGGCGGCCCCCGGAAAACCAGTGAGCAAAGAGCCACGGGGAAAAGACGGTGCCCTGCGTCCACCCAGCCCCTGTCCCTCCCAGACCCCATTGACACCAAAACCCATCGCTGCAGCAGCACTTACGGGGACAATCCTGGCAGAAATGTTTCCACCAGTAGAAACATTCCTTGGTTAAGGCCACGTCTCGCCCCTTAAGGAACCGGTACTGGTTAGACTGGCCAAACGCTGCTTCTTTTTACAAAGGTAAATTGTATCCGTGTGAGCCTCCAAGGCCACCCTGGGGAAGGGTTTTCAATGCAGACCAGCGCTAGGGAAGAGGAAGGAGAGGAAATGAGAGGGAGGTGAATATAGAGGGGGCACAGGGAGCAGGTGAGGGGGATGAACAGCGCTGATGAGGGTGGAAACGGGGAGGGCAGCATCCCTGCAGCATTGGGTGCAGCTGCCAGGGGCCTTGGGCTGCCCTCAGGTGCCTTTGCCCCCTTGCCCTGATCCCTCAGGGCTCAGTGGGCAGCATTGTGCTGGGGCATCTGCAGGTGCTTGGGGGGCTGCAAGGTCCAAACCCACCCTGTAGGAAAGAGAGGGACACACCTACTAACTTTGCACTTGAATTTAATTAGCAAAAGATGCCTTTACCTGAACTACTCTTGTAGTGCTCTTCTTGTTTCCATCATTTACCTTAGTCCCTCGTGCTTTTGGGACCACTTGGATGGTTTCTGCACCCCCAAGCCTGAGTGGGAGCCCCAGTGATGCGTCTGTGTCAGCTAGGACCCGCTACGCCCTTCCCTCCATGCGATCTGGTTTCCTTTCCACAACCACAAAGTGCTGCATTTAGTGTCCGATCGATGCTGGGGATTTACAGCTGACTCAGGCACTCGGGGCTGTGATTCCTCTGCAGGAAGAAAGGTCACGGAGCAAGGGGGTGTCGGGGTGGCAGGCCATCTCATCCCAAAACTTTCCAGTGCCGTTTTGGTCTGAGCAGGGGTGTCACAACGGCCTCCAGCTGACCTGGAGCTGGTCCCTGTGCCTTGGGCTCCCCCTCCACCAGCAAACACCGTTGGTCACCTCCTTTGCAGGCACTTTGCTCCGTGCATCTGGGCTCGCTCTGTGCCAGGTCCCGAGCTGGGATGTGTTGCTGCTGGCTGCGTCTTGCAGACCAAGGAAAATCTGCAAATGCGTGGCCTTAGGGAATTTGGAGAGGAAGGATGCTGCAAATTCACTCCAGGCTGGGGCACCTGCTCGGCACGTGGCCACTGCACGCGCTTGTCACGGACCTCATGGAAGGACGCAGTGTCTGTCCTAAACCTGAAGCTATTTGGACACAAGACAGAGAGGACTGCTCAACCCGACCTCCCCCCACCTTATATCTGGGGGGAAAAAGCGTATTGGAGAGGAGCCGTGAGCCGGAGCAGTCGGATCTCCCTGAAACGTGAAGGTTGCCCGGTTTCTGCGCAGATTTGTCAACTGCTTCAAACAGGAAATTTGTGTTTTGAAAACCCTCCAAGAACCTGTAATGCCGGGAAGCCCTGGGGGAGCCGGCACCGCGCTGGTCTTGGCTCGAGGAGCCGGGAATGAGCTCCCGGGCAGGTCTGTCCCTCGGTGTGCAGGGGGACGGTGTCCCCTGGAGGGAAGGGGGGTACCTCAGGTGTGGTGTAACGGGTCCTCGCACTCCTTTTTGGTGAGCACCATGTCCTCGCTCTGCCCTCCATGGTTTCTTCCTAAAAGTGTAGTCGTGGTAAGGAATAAAGCACCCACCACCCTCTCCCTGCTCCACCTCTCCCTGGGGACTCTCCTGACTTGCTGTAGGTTCTACCGAAACACAGGAGGGGTCAGTAAGGTGAAAGAAGATTCTGCATCAGCAGCGTCTCTGGTGGGCTGTGCTTGGCCATCGGCACAGGGAAGGGGATCCTGCCCCGCTCCCCACCTCTGTGGCAACTAACGAGGCTCCAGGCCCTCGGGGGTGAACCGGGGAGGAAGGAGGCACCCGCTTTGGGAAAGCAGCAAAGCAGCCCGTGGCCGATTAAAGGGCAATCTGGTTTTGCTGAGAGCTGTTGGCTGCCTTGGCTGGAGTGATGCATTGCTCCGGCTCATCAGGACCTTCCTCCCCCTCTGACAGCTGTGCAATAGATCACGAACATATGCAAAAAAATAAACTGCATCAAAGCCACTTGGCAACTTAACTAACCCGATTCATAAATTAATTTCTGTTCCTCTTGTAAGGGAGAAATCAGTCACTTCTCAAGGCTATTCGTCTCCATCGCTCATCTGGCCACATCCTTTCATAAATCTTCCCCGTAAGTCTGAACTGGTGATTGCTGGGTCAAGATACAACGATGCTCAGTGCCTGCGCCGGGCTGAGGGGCAGCCCCGGGGCTGGTTTGCCCTGGGCTGCGGCAGGGCTGCTTCTCTGCATCGCCCGCGTCCCGTAAGGCTGCAGCAGAACTGGAGTTTTGCCGCATGGTGCTGCTCCGTGGGTGATTTTGGGGAGCGTATGGTGCCTGCCAGGGAGGGGGCAGGGCGGCGAAGAGGTACAATGGTGAACCAGTTCCTTGCAAAATGCGGCTGAACGGCACGTGCCGGGTTTCCAGAGCTGCACCGGGGGCGGCCGGTGACTGCAGGGTGCTGGGGGCATGTGGAGGGAGGGTGGGTGCTTGGAGGGGGCAGGCTGGGGGCACCCCTGTAGCGTGGCGCCTGTGCACGCGGGGGAGTCGGAGCCCGCAGCTATGGCAGCTCCCCCACAGCTTTCCAAGCCCCCATGGCTTTCCAAGCCCCCCAAAAGCCTTGCAACCCCCCGGGCTCCAGATGAGCATCAGTGCCTGGAGCCCAGCTTAGCTTTTCCAACCAGGCAGAGAGAAGTCAGCTCTTCCCTGCTGTATCCCTCACCCCGCTCCCCCTCTCACAGAAAAAAATATCAGCACCTTTTCAGGCTGCCATCTGCTTATTTTGTTGGACTCGGAACTTGCTGAAATGTCTTTCAATGGATGAAGGAACGCAGAGTAGAAGAACAGAGCCTGGCAGGCTGCATGGTGAGTGGAAAATAGATTTTTTGGACTTTCTGGAGTTTGAAGGCCCAATGATGGATGTGCATGCGAGGGATGGTAATGGCTTTGTAAGTATCAAAACACAGAGCAAAAGAATAACTCTGCCTAATAGACTGAGAAATGTATGTCGGACAGGACCCGCTCCGCTCCGACACGGGCGAGAGCGGCGGTGCTGAATGATGAAGTGCTGCGGGGCTTGGGAGCGCAGGCTTGTGTTGGTTTAATGTATTGGAAAAAGTGGTACAGCTAGTTTTGAAAAAAATATTAGACGCTGTGAATGTGTTGGAAAAGGCTGCATCTTGCCTCAAAATGAGTCTCGAGGAGACCCGTCGTGTTTGCAGCGATCCGTTCGAGGGGCTCACAGCCGCCCGTGGCTCTGACCCGCCGGGCAGGGCTGCCTGTCCCTGTGCCTCCTGGCTCCCCTCTTGCTGCCTTCCCTCTCTGCTTCTGGTGTCCAGACCTACTGACAAAAGTGATGGGTTTATGTGGAAATTTTGTGGGGATAAATATTTGCCTGTCAGCAACGCTTGGTCGGAGCATGATTTCTCATGTGCCATTTGGAAATGACATTTCCAAACAGAATTAGAATTTCCCATTGAGGGTTTTTTTGTTGTTTTTAAGTTGGAAAAGGGTTGAATTTGAGGGGTTTTCTGGTTGCCACACAAATGGGAGACTTGTTCATCCCCCCTTGCTTAAAGCGAGGGGTTTTGATGTCCCGTTTCCAACCTGGCTAACCCAGAAACTGGGATGAGCTGGAAGACGTGTGTGTGATCTTCAGCTGGGCATGGAATTTACCAAAAGCAGGATGTTTTTTTCCCGCTTGCAGGGCTTTTTTTCAGGTCACATAAAATCTTGCAGCCCACAACTTCCAGTGCCTGTGGGTACAAGCGAAACTGAGACAGTGGATCAAGAGGGGACGTGGGGGCAGATCGCAGGTTTCCAGCCCTTCCCATGCGATGTGGTGGCTTCATCGCTCGCTGCATCTTCTGCCACAGCTTTTGGGTGGCTGCTGGCCCGGGGCGGCGTGTGCGAGCAGTGCCAAGGCAGCGTAGGGCCATGTTCTTCTGGAGCCTGAATTTCCCCAGGGCTCCTGAGAGAGGGAGGGATGCAGCCAGTGGAGCTCGGAGCTGCTCCCCCGTGGTCCTTGCACCCCACAGAGCTATGTTTTGCCTTGCTTGGGTGATGTGGTTGATCTTCATGCAGGGACGTAGCGCAGCGATACTGCACAAAAGCAGGTGCTGAGCACCCCCAGGGATGCTGTGCTTTCAGATGGGCCGGCCCTGGGAAACACCTCAGGTTTTCCACAAAGTCCGGCGCTGGGCAGGATGAGCCGGGATGCAGCTGCCTCCAACTGGGATAAGCCCCCGGTGGCTCTCGGTGCCCCAGCACCGAACTGGGAGGAGGCTCAGGCGCTGTGAAGCGGTGGCGCTGGTTGCTCGTGGGGATGGGTGACAACTCGGTGAGCGCAGGGCCGCGCTGCTGTGGCTGCGGCAGCGGGCGTGGAAATACAGCCGAGCCCTGCTGGGCTGCGGGGATGTCTCCAGGGCAGGCTTTAGGGGCTGGGCAGTGTCCCTCCCGAGACCTGATGGCTCAGGTGAGCTGCAGCCTTGGGAGGACGGTTCTGCCATCACCCAGCTCAGCTCAGCTCACAGCCGGGATGTAGCCACGAGGGCTAAAAATGGAGTTCCGAGAACAAGCACAAGAAAGTTTCCTTTCTGAAATAGCCCGCATATCCCGAGCCACGTTAAGGC